AGTAGTAGTAGTAGTATCAGTAGTAGCAGTAGTAGTAGTAGTAATAGTAGTAGTAGTAGTAGTAGTAGCAGCAGTAGCAGTAGCAGTAGCAGGAGTAGTAGCAGGAGTAGTAGCAGTAGTAGTAGTAGTAGTAGTAGTAGTAGTAGTAGCAGTAGTAGTAGTAGTAGCAGTAGTAGTAGTAGTAGTAGTAGTAGTAGTAGCAGAAAGAAAAAAAGTAGTAGTAGTGGTAGAAGTAGTAGTAGTAGTAGTAGTAGTAGTAGCAGCAGCAGTAATAGTAGCACTAGTATTCGTAGTCCTAGTAGTGGTAGTCGTCGTCGTAGCAATAGTGCAAGTAGTGGTAGCAGTCGTCGCCGTCGTAGTAGTAGTCGTCGTCGTAGTAGTAGCAGCAGCAGTTGTTCCTTCCCCCCCCAAAAAAAAACAAAGACGCGCGTCCCCTCCAGAAGAGTGTGAGCCGTCTGGCTGCGTCTTGTACTACTATCTTGGATCCGAGCCTTGGAAGACTGTCCTCTCAGATCCCTGTTTGCTTGCCAGGTGAGGTCTTCTCGCACTTCGTGGCATGTACGTAGCACTCACTTTCCCGATGTCGGTTTGCAATGTGAGACTTGCTGGTGGAATGCGGCTCTCCGAAGCAAGCTCTCTCAGTATCTCTCTCTCTCTCTCTCTCTCTCTCTTTCTCTCCGTCTACAAAAGGGTCTAGTGGATTCTAGTGGCCTTGTGACTGTCTTCAAAGCAACGCTCATGACAAACCGACAGAGCCGTTTGCCAGCTGGGGTGAAAGAGAACACTTGCCTAGCGTGAAGAAGCCAAAAGTCCATGTAATGACCTACGAGCCTGGGAGTCTGTCTCAATGTCTTATCTTTCAATTTTTTTTTGCCTCCAGCTGGGATTGTATAGATCTTCGTTTAGAGGCTTTCCAAGCAACAAACAAAGAAGAATGTGCTTCTTTGTCGAGGAGGTGCGAAAGAGCAGACCTTCGAACCGAAAGCGCCCTGTAGAGCTTGCATCAGCTTGCCATAGCGTCGTCCACTCTTGGACGCCTCAGCTCAAGGGCCCGTTGAAGCATTGATTGCGCAGGTTTTCCTGCAGCTCTGCTGCATAGAGACAGTATGAGTTTAATTCCGAGCAAAATGAGCGCCCTTGACATATCTGGATTGTGTGAAATGCTCGGTCCCAGTTCCAGATTTCACGACGCAGGTCGACTGGTACCATGCAATGCAAGTCTGCTAATCGTCGTGGTTGACAAACTTGCCGGCACAAATTCTGCAACAGGTGCGGCTCAGTGTAGACATGTGGAAGTGCAGCAAATCGAACACGCCCCTCTATTTCGCAAGGCTTCGCGTAGACAACCTGTCAGTTGTGCTACAGCTTCTGCCCCAGCCACTCCAGCATGGGACCGCGTGTGGACTCACGCCGAGTGCGCGCTGCCAACAAAGTTCAAATCAAGGCGGACCCTTGGAGCTGCGACTCCAACCGGCTCGTACACGGCTTTTTCTCATATTATATATTTGCATTATGAATCTCATGATCCACGGGGTCAATCAGAAGAAAGCCACATGGAGATCTGTCAGTTAGATGCAGGATGGCTCTGGGGGTGGGGGTGCTGTGCTTTACTGGATGTGCTGAACTCAGCATTCGCTTGGGCGCATGCCGAGATGGACGTCTGCTTGCCACGTGCATGGCCGCACGGCAAGGTCCAGGGATCAGCGGGCTCACGACAACTGGGCACTCCTGAAGGCTCAGGAGCTTCCATCGGGTGCCGTGATGTTCTTCGACAATTCTTGAGACCATCATTTCCATCTTCTTCTCATGCCCTGGCACTGAAAGCGAAAAGCACAACAAAGAAGCATCGTAGACCACCGCACCCGTACCGACGGAAGCCTTTGCCATTACAGCGGCAGCACCATCGTTGCACGGACAATACCTTCCTTGACAAAAGCTGGTTGAGGATCTGGCTCTGGAGAAAAAGGCGCTGCACCCTCAGCGCTGAAGTTGCAAAGCTTCTAGGATTTCAAGGATTCAGTCTGAGCATGAAGGTCCCTTCTTGTCTGCTTCTGCCTGGTACCGAAATTTCTGGACGCCACCCTTCGCCACTTTGACTTCATGCTGCAGGGACTGGCTTGGGGCCCAGCTTCGGAGTTGTATGGAGCCACAGGCCCTGAGACACCCTTTCACAGTCCCCTGGGCGGCCGGTGATCAAGTGCCGTCTTGGCAAGATGATGCACCATTTCTGGAGTTTGCATCATCCTTGCGTCTCGATCGTCCGAAGTTGGCTTGCTGTGGCATGCAGAGGCGGAGACATGCAAGGACCTTCAGAGTTTGAATATCGGCAGCGAGCTCAGATTGGGCACTGCAAAAACCCTGTCAATCTGCATGGTTTGCAAGAGGATCTCGACTTCAAAGCTTCTGCCTATTCACGGCGGCCGAGTCAATGTGATCTGTTCCAGGGTCCACGGACTTAAACGAGTTGGAGAATCTACCTTGTGCCCTTTGCTACTAGTGTGTGAGAAATTCAACCACTCCGCCTAAATGCAGCGTCTTGTCTGCAAGGCTTTGTGCTGCTGAAGGCCTGTGGCTATCTGTGGCTTCCGTGTGTTTTTCTGGTCGCATGGAGAGTCCCTGTAGGGTAGGTGCAGGTCGGGGCGCCTGAGTAGTTGCTGTGCCTTGGTCGCCGCAGGGCCAGAGCGTGACGGAAGTCCCCAAGTTCGTGCGCAAGCTCCAGCAGATGGGTAAGAAAGGCTTGCAGATCGCTTCAATGTTTGCTCTGCCGGACCGTAGTACCATCAGATTTTCCGACGAGCCATCTCGTTCAGGCGCCGTGCATGCTGTCGTCTGTGACACTTCGCCACTTCGAGTCCCACGTTCTTGGACGGCAGGCTAAGCCCCGAGCAGGAGTTTCTGGGCGACACCGCCGTATACGGGTATAGCAATGGTATAGCATCACATAGCACCACTGAATACATGACATTGGGATCTTGAAGTTGGCCCATGTGATCACCTGCACCGTGCTGCGCACGTTGCACATAGCGGCATAGCGTGGGAAGTTTCATCGGTGCAGTGAGCACATGTAAATAGTGTAGCACAGCACAGCAAGCTTTCTGGGGACAGGGGTCGCGAAAGCACTGCAGAACATGAAGGTGCCGTTGCTGCAGGCAGGGCAGAGCATTCTCGTGGTTGCCAGGCTCGATGGCTGAGATTGTGAGTACAAGTGCAAACCATGTCAGGTGGATGCCCATAATGTGGTGCCAATTTGGGAGGCTGGATTCTCAATGGCATCATATGTCCGACTGCCCTGGCCCTGCCCTCTGACGGATGCTGAGGCTTCTGAAAAGCAGGAGACCGGTGCACGCACACTGCGGCCAAAGATCACCAAACGGCTGATGGCCCCTTGGCAGTTGTAGAGGGCCGTTCGTGACGCGATCGAATCCCCAAACGAGGAATTTCTCGTGGATTTCCCCCCCTTGCGCAGGTGCCAACCTTAGAGTGCCTTGCAAGGGCAGCATGGTATCGTACCTACACTCGAGGCCCTTCAGGCCCTAGGCCTAAGAACCCCTTGCTCTCAGGCATCCTGTCGCACCGCTGCTGGGCAAGAAGGGAGGCCAGTGCAGCCTCTGTGGGAAGAGGGTACATGAGTTCACGACATGTAAGAGCCTACCGTCTACATACAAGTATACCAGTATACGGTATCCGTCAGAATACCATACAGATCATGATAAAACTGTTCCAGTACCTCAACACAGCATGAGATCTCGTGTTGGATTTCATGAAGGGAACAAGAGCAATCACAGCAACAGCGACAGTCCCACTGACAAGAAGGATACCAACAGCAGCAACAACAGCAGCAGCAGCAGCAGCACCACCACCAGCACCACCAGCACCACCAGCATCACCACCGCCGCCAGCAACAACAACAACAACAATTATTTTGCTTCGAACATCCTCACCCTACAGATCATGGCGTTACGGTCGTGGGGTCCCCGGTCACGTAACAAAACACAAGTGTTCGATTCAGGTCATTCGACGACCCGTGAGGTCACACTACCGACTGGCGATACGGACGTGGGGTCCCCGCACACGGAACAAATTTAAAACACGTCTTCGATTCAGGTCGGTGGACGATCCATGGCGTCGCACCACCGACTGGCGTTACCCGTACACGTACCAAAACACGTGTTCGATTCATGTCAGTCGACGATCCATGGGGACACACCACGGACGGGCGTTAAGGTCCTGGGGTCTCCGGACTGGGCACTCCAGGCAGTCTCTGGAGGTAGTCCCAGCGGGCGAGGAGCGGAGGAGCGGGCGGGAGTAATAGCTGACTTGATCTAACAACTCCACGCCGAGGGTGGGGAACAATAACTACTGCTCCTGCTGCTGCTAACACTACTACTTCTTCTACTTCCACTTCTACTTCCACTACCAGTAGTGGTGCTACTGCTACTACTACTACTACTACTACTACTACTAGTGCTACTGCTACTACTACTGCTACTGCTACTACTGCTACTGCTACTACTACTACTACTACTACTGCTACGGCTACTGCTACCGCTACTGCTACTACTACTACTACTACTACTACAACTTCTGCTACTACTCCTCCGCCTACGACTACTACTGCTGCTGCTGCTACTACTACTGCTACTACTACTACTACTACTACTACTACTGCAACTACTACCAGCACCACTACCACCACGGCCACCACAACCACTGCCGCTACCATTTCTACAGCCACGACGACGACGTTGTTGTTGACGACGACGACGGACGACGACGACGACGAATACTACTATGTACCACCACTACCACAGCTACCCACTTCCTTTCGTCATCTTACATCGACATTTTTTGCAATGTGATGTCAATTTAGCTTTTGATTGTTAATACATATATATATACACACATAAGTATGGCCCACAATATACAACACTGTAACCTACTCTATTCCATTTTACTCTACGGTATGCTTGGGCTTGCCGTTATGTTTGTGCTGTACTACCCTGCCCTACCCTACTCTATTCTACTTACATATCTGTGTAGGTATACCCACGAGCACACGTGAGCCACTGCAGTGCCATGCTGCCCCGATGCAGAGCAGGACATGTGGACCAAAGCGTATACCTGACTAGGCATTCGAGATGTCATCCAGCTGAGCTAGCTTGGCGCGCTGTCCTGCTCTAGTGTGAGTACTATGTCGTTCAAGTCGAGGGCGCACAGTACTTCAGAAGCTTACGATGGAGGCTGTTGTTTTGGCCTGTGCGGATGTGTCGCTCAGAGCAGTTGCAACAACGAAGATCTACCAGCACACTCTTCTTAGTTGGTACCGGGGTTGATGACAGCTCTGAATGAGCTGTAGTGGTTGCACAACTTCCATCTCGCAGGTTTTTACCTGCACAGGTAGTTGATAAAACTTTGGGCTGGAGTCTCGTTGCCGGGCCATGATTCTGCCACCCATCGATGGGGGTGTGCGTGCGGCAGCCGCGCAGCCGCGCAGCGACAAACGGCGCGGCAGTCAGTTAGGGGGCCTTGGTTTGTAGGAGTCCGGCGATATCATGAAGCTACACAAGCATCAGAGTTGATGAATTTGCATCTTATTCTCTTGTGCATCGCCTTTCACCTTCGTGGCTCAGGAGGCCCTCCGAGCCAGAGAGGTCCACCTCGTTGAAGGCTCGGACGTTTCAGCGAGTTTGCGCAGCAGTCCTGATGCTTATCTAGCATGGTCGAGCATCATGCGGGTACACGCTGGAGGCCGTTCAGTTGAAGAGTCAAATCAAGGCGGGCTGGGGCCTAGGGTGGTCATGGGCGATGGCACCTCCGGATGTAGTAGCACTCACTTGCGGCTTGTGCGTACGGTGCGCAAACGATGTGATGTTGCAACTGCAACTTCAGTGGCCGAGGGCCGTCGGCACAGCCTGTTTGGATCTGTTGACGTTCATCACCCTGAGGCCAAATTTCATGAGCTTGATGTCAACAAGGCAGGTCTTCAGCACAGCTCCAGTCGGCCAGTACCCAAAAAATCCTACCCAGTGCAGAGGAGATTTGCCTCGTGCTGCGAGTGTGGCCACAGAAAAGCTTAACCGGAATAGGACTCAGCTGTAGCACCACAATACCGGAAGAAATACGGAGAACCAGGATGGCTGCTTGTCGTTCGAGGAGCTGACTGTGCAGCTCGGCTGGCGGGCATGCATAGCAGGCCATGCGAGCCTTCCAAAGAATATGACTACAATCAGGTTCCTGGGATGTTTGTCTACCAAGCTTACGGAGAAAGAGGTGCGCGAGATCTTCAGGAGATTGTGCTGCTTCAGAGCTACTCTCATCAAGGTGTCAATTGCCCTCTGAATTGGAGGACCATGGATCGAAACAGCATCCTGGCTAGAAGTAGTTGCAGCAAAGGTGGCCTCGGCTGTCTTGTGCCCTGTGCCTACTGGCCAACTCGACTTCCGCCCATGCGCCCACTCAACCGATGCCTCACATGGACCCCTCCACCAACCTCCACGCCACGACCGGCATTTAAACCAGTGCCACTCACAACCGCCCTACAACTTTCCCAAGAAACACACTCGGCTTTATTTGTGACATCTCCACCTAATCTTCTTGGGCTGGCTCGTCTGAGAGCCACCCTCCACCAATGCCAACATGTGCCCCTGCCCCAGCTTCCATGCCACCACCGGTTCTCAATTTGGCTGCAAGCGCCCCTCCAACCGTCCCTGAACTTTGCGACATCTCCCCCCCAGGCCTTCTTACTCTTGTGCCGCACACTTTTCCCCAGGCTCAATACGGACAGTGGATAAGGGCAAAGATAGCAGGAAGCAGAAGGGGAATGGAAAAGGCAACAAGCTCGGGAACAGCTTCAACTTTTGGAGCTGCGACTGATATTCGTATTATTGAGAGACGGAGCAGCAAATCAGCAACGCTTGCTCTAATCTGCTGCAGCAAGATGTGTCACCTGCATGCGTATTGTGTGCATGACTAAACCATTGCTGTTGCAACTGTTCTTGAAGCGTGACGAGGGATTGACAAATCTTCCACCACACAGCATGAATTTGCGAAGTGAGCTGTCCTGCGACGAGAGACGGGGAGAGGTGGGGTGACAAAGCCTCCGCCGAACGGAATTTCTGCGAGCGACGAACGAGCTGCTGTCTGCCTGGAGACCACCAGTGCAGGGCAGACTGGACGTGCCTTGAGGCCAAGATCCACAGGTCATCAGGTTAGGAATCTTGCCTGCCCTGGTTTCGCCAGCCATCTCAGGAGACGAGAAGGTTCAGTTCGATGAGTGCCATGGTGATATCCAGCCATACGGATTTCCGATCATGCCTGTTGATCTGTTATGGGCCGGGTCTGAGACTGTGTCTGCATTGTTTGTTGCATCAAGGTTCGTTGATTTCATCTTCAGCAGTGAGATGGACAAGAACCCGCGCTTGCTTGCAGATGTGGAGGCTGTCCGTGCAAGGTTTGGCTTGTCTGATGTTGCTGTGGTGGTGGTGGGTGTGGTGGTGG